GTCGTGTGAGAATGGTCACCTGTCTGAGGATGCCAGCTGACCCCAGGATTTCCGCTGGATCGTCGGCTCCCACGTCCACGAGACGATAGCTGTTGAGTAGCTGCCGCCAGAGCCTTCATAGGTGAAATCGCAGCAGTGTCGAAGTCCATGGTCGCTGCAACAGCAGCAGCAGCAGCTGCTGCTCCAGACACAGGGTCATCCGCATGCGAACCGGGCGGTAGAAGATCCGATACCCCACCCTAATCCATAGTATCCACACACTAGGTCGAGGACGGCATAGCCTTACAGCTCCCCCTTCAATGGGAGGTACATTGTCAGTTCCGACAGAGGGTTCCGCTGGGATACCATGAGCGTGGACCACAGCGAGATCGCCCCGATCATCCTGAATTTCCTCCAGCCGCCTCCACTCCTCATCGAGGATATCCCTCTCACGAGCCAAGGCTGATATGGTCACTGAGACATACAACTATGCTGGCATGAACAGCCCCCCCGCGGTCATCACTTTGCAGTACAGAGATTGCCTTATCGACTAGCACTGCAATCTCCGTCCGATGGTTCGGCAGTGGCGGTCGTTGCGGCCTCATGATAAAAAATGCACGGTCTGCAATGGGCGTTCCAGTGGCAGTATTGTGGAACTCAACGACAGCGGTGATACCGGGTACAGGAAACGCAATAACTGGGGAAGATGAGAGGAGCAAACCAGAGGGCAATATGACTCCTCGTACACATCTATCATGAATCTGCGAGATAACACTCTCGACCGTTGCCACGGATTTCCTATGCCGCCAAGCCTACAGAGACTTAACACTCGAACGATTTTTTACGAAATCCCAGCTCCTGGTCATCGGCACTCTGCGTGTTGTTGGAGCCTGAACCAACTGAACTCAACATCACCGTGGATACAATGTCTCGATGAACCCACGATAGGTCCTTGTCACCCTTCACAAGTAGTCACGGATCACAACGTGATACCCGGCAAGTGAGCCAATGAGAGCTATCTAAGTGGTAGAAGCCCTTCGACTGGCGTCTGCCAAGGGTACCCGGCTTGATCAGCCTACCTGATGTAAGGCTGTCCGAGACCTGTCATGAAGCGGGTTAGATCAGCAATCGTCTCAGATTACTAAAGATTCTCATTAATCATGCCTCGGTCCTAGCACCGGGTGCAGATTCGCCTTTTATCATCATAGACAACCACATCACCAGATTACCGAAGACTTCACTAACTCTCTCCTGTGGCTGAATAATGTCTCACCCTGAGCTCAGCAGCAGTGGAGGTGTTCGACAGACCTCTCCTCAGTTTCAACAGCGCTCCCGGGACCGAGTTTTACATGTGAATTCCAATCCGGGTAAACCTCCGTGG